CCATACATCTACACTCTCTTTGAGCTTCACTTTCTCGCACTATGTCCTCCCCCCCCAATTATCTTTGCTGTTTGACAATTTCCCCGGAAACGTCCCCAGATGGGAGCCAGCCTCAGACAGGCAACTTACAAACTGCTTCCTTCCTGCCCTCGGGCCCCGGTGAACAGCTGCCCAGATTCACAGTGTTTCCTTTCATCCCCTGGCCCTTCTGCTTTCTAGGGTAAACAGGAAGAGAACGATGTGGTGGAGAAGCTGAACCTTTTCCTGGACTTGCTCCAGTCTTATAAAGTGAGTCTTGCTTTTGACCGGCCAGCTGGGGAGGGAATTGCTGGAACACAACTGGGTGTCCGAAACAGGAGAGTCAAGGGATTAGTAGGGAGGCCAAAGAAACAGCAGATGAAAAGAACCTTTTCTGGGGAGGTGGGATTCTGCTGGGGGTTAGAGGATTTTATTTTGTTTTATTTTATTTTATTTTATTTTATTTTGTTTTATTTTATTTTATTTTGTTTTGTTTTGTTTTATTTTATTTTATTTTATTTTATTTTATTTTATTTTATTTTATTTTATTTCTATATATAAACCCAGATTATATCTCCAGGCATAAGAGGGCAGCACAGGAGACCATTCTCCACCCTCCATATACACTCTCTGAAATCTGGATAAGACAATCTTCTGCCCACCAGATCCTTAGGACTGCAACTCCCATGAGCCCCAACCAATCTCACACGGGATTGTGGGAGTGGCAGAAGGCTGCATATATGCCCTTGGATTTGATTTTGCATCCGTATGAAAGACTTGATCGGGGACGTTGCAGTAGCCCATCTTGGCTGAGAAACAGTTTGGTTGAAGTGCCCTCCTTCTGGTATTATAGTTAGAGAGTGGAGTTTGTCTTGGGGCTGTGCCCATCCTAGGTTTGGAGCAATGGTGAGAGCAGAACCAAGGATGCCCACCTTGGGTGCTTGTGCTGTCCTGCCTTCCCCAACCCGGTGCCCTTCAGAATGGTTGGGGTTACACCACCCATTGGCTGAATGTTTCCATCATTCAAGCAGGAAGACCGAGCTGTGAAATTAGACCCCTTGTTTATGGTTCCCATCCCCACCTGCCTCTTCTGCCTGTGTTGTAGGATCTGTGCGAGAGGCACGAGAAGGGTGTGTTGCACAAGCACCAGAGAGCTTTGCACAAATACAGCATGATGAAGAAGCAGATGATGAGTGCCACGGTGCAGAACAAGGAGCCGGAGTCGGTAGAGCAGTTAGAATCCCGAATCGTGGAGGTATAGTCCCGTGGCTCTAACCTTAACCCTAAACCCGTGCTGGCCAACCAAAGAGAAAAACCACAGATAAATGTTTCGCCATCCTGAAAATGATGGTTTTTTTGGGGGGAAAAACAGAACTGAAATCTGTGACGTGTCTAGTCCCCTTGGCGATGAGAAACACCCAGTGAAGTTTGTGAAGCTGAAACCACCATCCCAGAGTTTTCTGAGGCATCTGGGATTGGGGAACAAGACAAGGCTGGGGGTGCGGGTGGGGTCTTGCAACTGCATAACCCAATAGGGTGCCCTTGGGTGGAGATAATAGCTAGTGCTGGCCCTCCAAAGTCTCTGGTCTGGTCTGGTCTAATCTTCTCTTCTCTTCTCTTCTCTTCTCTTCTCTTCTCTT